ATCTTTGGGTTCTTCTTTACCTCTCTCACCAAGGCTCTTCTCCCCCGATAGCTCAGTTTGGCCGGACGGCCAGCTCTAGGAAGGGTTCTGGTCGTCCCAAACGTCTTCCATTTAAGGATTATGGAGGCCACTGTGCTCTTGGGAACCTTAAGTGCAGCAGAATTTTTTTTGTAACCTTGGCCAGATCTGTGCCTTGCCACAATTCTGTTTCTGAGCTCTTCAGGCAGTTCCTTTGACCTTATGATTCTCATTTGCTCTGACATGCACTGTGAGTTGTAAGGTCTTATATAGACAGGTGTGTGGCTTTCCTTATCAAGTCCAATCAGTATAATCAAACACAGCTTGACTCAAATGAAGGTGTAGAACCATCTCCAGGATGATCAGAAGAAATGGACAGCCCCTGAGTTAAATATATGAGTGTCACAGCAAAGGGTCTGAATACTTAGGACCATGTGATATTTCAGTTTTTCTTTTTTAATAAATCTGCAAAAATGTCAACAATTCTGTGTTTTTCTGTCAATATGGGGTGCTGTGTGTACATTAATGAGGAAGAAAAATTTACTTAAATGATTTTAGCAAATGGCTGCAATATAACAAAGAGTGAAAAATTTAAGGGGGTCTGAATAATTTCCGTACCCACTGTATATAGAATGGATCATACTCACCCACCGTGGTTCCCGCGCCAGAACCCCTTTCCAGAGGCGATTCCAGAGAAGCCTCTAGTCCGAACCATCAGTAAGGTGGTTGCTATGAAGTCATAGAACCAACCAAAACATCATAGGTCCAGCATAGGAGACTGTAATGCAGGAAATTCCTACCTAACCTCGGTCAGGTGCAGTGCTGGTGGTTATAGGGGAATTAGTAAGGGGAAGAAAAGGGCAGATGTAAAACCCCCGAAGGAAATGAGTAGATACTCAAGTATCACTCTGATCTGGATGAAAGCGCTGACGCCTTGTCTGGATCACATCCCTAAGGTCTTGCCTACCTCCCTTTGACCCGCGATTCCTCTTACCCCTACCCGCAGGCGACACTTGCCTTCTGTGCCCGTCTCTGATCCTCAGACCGAGACGGACCAGGACCCCTATGTTGTTCGGGCTCAGACCTGGACCTTCGTGGAATGAAGGTTTGAAGGCCGCTGAGCATGCATTTGCCTCCCTGAACTTCTCGACCACCGTCTCAATGGAGGTACCGAAAAGTTCGGAAGGTGAAACCTGAGCATCGAGAAGAAAGCCCCTCTCTTTCTTCCCGATATCTGCCAGGTTCACCCACAGATGTCTCTCCGTTACTACCATTTCCGCCATAGACCTGACCATAGCGGAGGCGGCCTGCTTAGTAGCACAGAGAGCAAGATCCTTGGTGCGGCGCAGCTCAGCTACCTCATCAGGAGAAAGGCCCTCGCCTTTATCCAGGTCTTTCAGCAGATCAGCCTGATACGCCTGGAGCACCGCCATAGTGTGCAACGAAGCCACAGCCTGACCTGCTGCTGCGTATGTCCTGCCATTTAAGCGCGATATATCCTGAAGGGGCTTAAATGGCAAGTTCTCAGTATGCAAATCAGGAAGAAATGGAAGGCTCACCTGAGCTGGAGGGTTATGGCCAGAAAGAAAACGCTAATCTAGGCGACCTTACGACGTCACTTTCTTGGCCCGCTTCCACGGCAAGTCCAGCCTCGCTGTGGCACGATCCATAACAGCTCATCATACACAGGGCAGGAGGATTGGGAAGCCTCAGCCTCTTTGCCATCCTCAGACATCTCCTGCTCCTCCTGGGCTGAACCCAGCAGAACACTGGCACCCGGATCAGACAATGTTAAGACTTTCTTGGCCCGCTTCCACGGCAAGTCCAGCCTCGCTGTGGCACGATCCATAACAGCTCATCATACACAGGGCAGGAGGATTGGGAAGCCTCAGCCTCTTTGCCATCCTCAGACATCTCCTGCTCCTCCTGGGCTGAACCCAGCAGAACACTGGCCCCCGGATCAGACAATGTTAAGAGAAATAACATCATCCTCCAGCGGCTCTCTCTCGTCCACAGCCGACGAGCGCGAGAGGGAAAGCCCCTCTTTAAACTCATCGGCCAGGTCCACGTGCGATCCCCACAAGCTCATTCTCCTCTGTGCCTGAGCAGCGGCGGGTCCTGAACCGCGGGAAGCAGATGGCTGCCCCTCTTTCCTCGAAAAAAAAGACAAATGAGAGCGGAGCTTTTTCATCGAAAAACGCACACAATGCACGCAAATTGCCCCCTCAAGGACATCGCGTGCGTGCTCCTCGCCCAAACAAAGAACGCAGAGATTATGTGTGTCATCAGGTGTCAAATAGCGACCACACGGATGCACACATCCTCTAAACCAGGGATCCTCAAATCTGGCCCACGAGATCCACTTTCCTGCAGAGTTTAGCTCTAACCCTAATCAAACAAACCTGAGCATGCTAATCAATGTCTTCATGATCATTAGAAAATCACAGGTAGCTGAGTTTGATCAGGGTTGGAGCTCAACTCTGCAGCGCATTGGACCTCCAGGACAAGATTTGAGGAACCCTGCTCTAAACGTTCTGCTAGTGCTCGCCATAATAATAGGATAGAGATCGCTCTTACCACGTTCAAATGCACGCTTCAAACAAAACAGTCATTGAAGACGAAGAAGAGAATGACATGTTCTCCCGGCGCCTATTTATACTAATAGTCGCACCGGTAGTGACGTCATGGGCTGTCGCCGGCCAAAGTGTTGTTGGTGTTTTTTCAATGTATGTTTCAGACACGGATCATGACGAGGCATTCCCCATAGCGCCCCCTAGAGGACGCAGTTCGAAGTTCCCTTGAAAGGGAGTCAGGGTCACTCTGAACACATATCAATTGAAATATATCACTCTGAACACATATCGAAACGTCGGCATGACAGCTTCTTTACATGCATTTTGACTGCTCTCAGCACCCATACCGCAAGTACACAATTACACGCGCAAGACAAAAAAAAGTGCGGCTGGCTTGACCGTGCATTTTCAAAGCGAGGCTGGCTTGACTGCAGTTGACAGAGACCCTAGGCCACTCACACTGTTTAATGTGTTTGAGATGTGCTGTCTTCCTGTCATGAATGCATAACTTACATTTCACAGGTATATTCTCCATCTGTAAATGTTAGAAAGCCATGAAAATATTTGTATTTTTCTGTCAGAAGTGCATCAGCCTTCTGCTTTGGGATTCTCCGCTAAACTTCAGTGAACGAGTGCCGCCGCGCGCATGCGTGCCAAACAGACAGAGCTCAATTAAATAGGAGCGCAATAATTCTGACTAAAATATGCATTTCGCTGAAATATTTGTAGTTGGACAATAAATACGACATGTAGAATGTGTGTAAAGTGACAGTAATGGGGTAATCAAAATAGCCTAACACAACTCTGTGCTTTTGCACATTTTCAAAAATGAGAATACCGAGATATATACCGTATATCACAAATCGGTCAAAAAATACAGAGATATGAATTTTTGCCCATATCGCCCAGCCCTATTGTTAATCATATTATTATTATTGAAATAATTAGTACAGATATTTATATAAAACAATATTTCTATATTTATGTAAACCATTATTATTATTATTATTGTTGTTGTTTTTACTACTATTATTATTATTATTATTGAAATAATTAGCACAATTAATATTTATCTCAATGAATATTTATATATTTTTTAAACTATTATTATTATTACTACTACTACTACTACTGAAAACAATATTTAAATGAAGATGTATTTATTTTATATACATGTTATTGCTATTAACATGATTGTTATTATCTTTGTTATTATTATCTATATGCAAATATTTATCTATATACAAATTAATATTTGTATATTTAAACAAATATTTAGTAGTAATAATAATAATAATAACAATAACAATATTTTTACAACAAAAAATTTAACAATAATTTTAATTAATACAATATTATAATTTAAAAGTTTATTTAAATGTGTACTTATTTATTAGTTTTAACATACTTATTAACGTACACATTTATATATGCATTAATATGAATAATAATAAGAGTGGAAAAATTATGCAGACAGACAGACAGACAGACAGATAGAGACAGACAGACAGACAGATAGATAGACAGACAGATAAATAGACATAGGCAGACAGATACACATGATAGACAGACAGACAGACAGACAGACAGACAGACAGACAGACAGACAGATAGATAGATAGATAGATAGATAGATAGATAGATAGATAGATAGATAGATAGATAGATAGATAGATAGATAGATAGAGACAGATAAATAGACATAGGCAGACAGATACACATGATAGATAGATAGACAGACAGACAGACAGACAGACAGACAGATACACAGATAGATATGATAGATGTTTTGTTATTATTAATCAAGTATTAATGTACTTATTTATGGAGAGAGAAAATCAACCTACACATAATAGCAGACAAACAAGAAATATAAGCTTAAAAACTGATCTTAGATTGGATGACGATGGTTACAGTCATTCATATGTGGCTTGTTCACATTTGTATTTGAATTTCAAGGTGGCATTATGGTGCATAATCACCTCTATCCCAATTCATCCCCATAGTTTCTCTCTCTTTGGAAGAGCATCTAAATGTTAATAGGCGTTGTGCAGGTAAATTTCCAGCCGATCTTCCACATACATACATATCCGTTTCTCTGAACTGCAGCTGAGCTCTAATGTCAGAATGTTAAATGGAAGACCATGAGTTTAAAAACTTAAAGAGGCAGTGAAATATTGGCCAATGTGCTTGAGGGATGACTGGCTCTTTACTCCGAGTGTCAGTGTTTAATGGTGGGCCTGGATGCATATAAGTTAGCCCAAGCATGAAGGGCAGTGGGACGCTCATGTGGAGAAAAAAAGGCTGGCTTTCAATCCGCCCTCCTTTGGCGGGGCGGGGGTCCCATCAGAAACATCATGCCATTTCTCTCACTCACTCAGTCAGCCTTGAGATGCACTGCAGACTTACCTCAGTGTTGTACACTCCATATATCAGGAAGATGAAGAGGCCCTGCGAAAGAAAGAAAAAAAGAACGAAGTTGTTAGGAATCTTTCTGAGATTCTGAAATCAATAAGAACTGTATGAAAAGCATTTCTGAAGCTGATATGCATAACACCACGCTGAACTTTGGCCCAAGGTTTCTGAAGCCTATTCTTCCCTCGAAAGTAAGCAAGAAAGAGGCTAAAGAAGAACAATCAGTGGCATAGATAAACTTAAAGCTCAAGAAATAAAGGGAAAAGAAAAACCAAAGGGAGCTTGAACGGGTTGCCCTTGGATATACAGAATGAGAGCACATGTGGTGACAAAAAAAATGGCAGGTTTTCATTATTTCCACAGTTGTGGCTATTCAGGAGAAGAAGTGTGCATCTGCAGGTCTGGAGTGGCCAAAGAAAAGATGACGAGTTGAGGAAAAAAAGGTGATGGTCAAATAAAAGTTGGACCAACACTCAAAGAATTCACAAACGACGGTTGGGTTTTGCGGTACAAAAGTGTAAAAAGGTAAGGAATTAGTTTAAAAGATTGTCATTTACTCTTCCTCGAGGTGATTTAAATTCCTTCGAAGGAACACAAACGTTTTGGAATGAAAAGAAGGTGAGTAAATGAAGGCATTTTTGTCGAATTATTCATTTAAAGTTAGTCTTATTAGCAATGTCATGTTAAATCAACAAAGCGAGCCAGATTTTCCACATATCTGTATATATTTCTACACATTTTGCTCTTTACATTTAATATCTTTTTTTAAAGGAGGATAAAAGAAAAACCATTTCAACTCTAGAGCCAGGTCTGAAAGTGCGTGAATGAACTGTCCTTGAGTAAAGAAAGAGGGCACATGTGGTGGTAAAATAAAAAGTGCCATTTTTTTTCTTTATTTCCATTGAATATAAAAAGTTGCACATCTTTAGGGCTTTTCAAGGAAATTAAAAGTTGTACTAACTTAAGGTCAACACATTTCTGCTTTTTTAGTTTTAGTTCTGAAATGTTCTTGACTATACACACAAAAGTTGAGGTTAATGCGTTCACAAATGCAAGGTCTACTTTCCTTCTGTAGGAATTTTACGTCAACATCTTGCGATTATGATCATTGGTATCTTTATTTTATTGGCGTGTTTTGCCGTGTCCTGTCTGACAGCTGTGATAGAGTCACATCAATCAGGCAGGAGTTTGGAACGTCCAATTTGCCAGAGCTGGATCACAATGCATCATCACTGACAGCGTGATTTGGAGGTCTGCTCCAGATGTCCACTGTGTTGCCTGTGATGCCAACCCTCTTCATTTCATCAGCGCTGGGGAGCCGCAGATCTCCCATGTGGCCATGCTACTCTATCAGCTACTGTCAAAGTAGCATGACATTTATCATTAAATTATTTTTTGTATACTAGTCTATGAAAACCAAAATGGTAAATATCTAGAGCCGACACTGGCATATTAAAATCATATTTATTTTTGATAAATGAAAAAACTGGGATGAACATATATATTTAAAAGCCTCACAGAATAATTTTTTTTTAGTTTTGTTTTGCAAATTTAATGGCATATAAAATATGGTGTCTTATATATAGATAATCACTTAAATAAATATTGATTTAAATAAATTATTTCTAATTGCTTCAGAATTGTTATGTAATATTAAAACGTATTATTATTATAAATAATACATAAGTAATACAATAATACAATAATACAAAGGTATAAAACCTCATTATTAGTATTATTATTAAACTATTTGCATGTTTAAATAGACATATAAATATTCATTTAAATTAGCATTTATTATTATTATTATTGTTAAAATATATATTTCTATGCTTAAATAGACAAATATTTGTTTAAATGAAAACCTTTATATTAATATATTAATAACAATAATTATCAACAAATGTTAAAATTAATAAATGAAGAGGGATTTACATAAATATTTAAATGATAATAATAATAATAATAATAATATGTTGAAATAATTAAATTAATAAATAAATGTTCATGATAAAAATATTTCTTTAAATATTCATCATAAAAATATTTCTTTAAATAATTAATAATTGTTATATAATATTGTATTATAATAAAAGTATATTATCATTGTTATTATTTAAATAAATATTCACGTTTACATATGTAATTAAATATTCATTGTAAGCCACTCATATAATGCAGAAACACTCAAGCAAGCAAAACACGCTTGAAAACGTGCACGTATTTGTACTGATGCAAAATAGTACAGCCTAGCGCATTTCACACAGGCTGCTGGATTCACTTTCGCCTGAAAGTCGTGTATGCCTAAGGTTAAAAATAAATGACATTTATAATGAATGCCCTATAAATGGTCTTATTTTTACGATTTAGTTTTAATCCAAATGATGTGTGTGCTAAGTGAGTGAACATCAAAGATCGCACAACAGAATTGTGCGCGCGCTCTCTCTCCCTACCATTAAGCAACTTGTGCATTGTTTTACTTACTTGTTTTTGACATATCCGACCGAACTACAAACTTTCCAGTGATGTCTGTGAGAAAGATATATTGACTCGACAAGCTCGCGCATCTGCCCCGCCGCACGCTCAATCCACTCAGCGTGCTTTGCTTATCAACTCGCGCACATCTGCTATACAGGCGTTAATACTGAATGTTTAACATTATATTCATTGCATACATATACTTCGTAGACATCCTTAATCTCTAATAACTCCATTCTGCTGTCTGTTGTTGGTGTTTCTTTGTCTGAATACGGCACTTATCACATGCTGTGTGGTATCGGCGTTTGGTATCGGGGCATTTTAACGAGTACAGGAGACCAGTATCGGGCCCGATACCGGTACATCCCTAATTATTATTATTATTAAATATCTGTAATATTGTTTAAATAGATACATAATTATTCTTAAAATGAATTTGTGTTATTATTATTATTTAAATTTATATTTGTATGTTTGAATAAATTGAAAATATTAATACATAATAATATATTAATAACAATAATCATCATCATCAACAACAATAAATATGTATAAATCTGAATAAAAAATGCATAAATGAACCGTGATTTACACAAATATTTGAATAATAATAATGTTAAAATAAATAATTAAATATTCACCTTTAAATAAATATTTATTTAAATAATGAATAATGCTATTTAATATTGTATTATAACCATTATATTATTATTATTATTATTATTATTATTATTACATAAATGAATATTCATATGCTTACATAAGTACTTAATTAATAAACGTATCATTGTTGTTGTTGTAAATAAACAAATATATACAAAAATGTGGAGCTGGTCAATTATATTTGTGAAACGTGAACAGAGAACATTTTTTAACATTGTTTAAATGTTTTTATCCTGTTTTAAACTGTTGCTTTTCTTTAAAGTCACACTGAATTCAATGCTGTGCTACAGCACCCACGACTCTAAGGAAGTAATAGCCAGTGATAGCGGGGGGTAAAAGACAATGCGGCACGCATCCCATTGTTTTGCATTAGACTGTCAATTTCCTATTTAGTATTGCAAATGAATTATCATGTTTTTGATCATGGGCCTTATTTGTGTTTAAGCTTTCATTGTGTTCTGAACAAAGTGGGAAAAACATCCCTTGCATATTATGAAAAATGATCAATTAGAATATAATTGAGATAAAAATAAAATGGCACCAAAACAATAATGATGAATTGTTTAAAAAGTTAATTCATTAATGACGAGCTAAAAACAAACACGGAAAAATGGAGCACATTTAAATGCATTGTGTTTTTTGGGTTTCGGGGGAAAAAACACATTTCTTTTGAACTCAGCTCTAAAATGGTGGAAATGTATGCAAAGGGATTGTATTGCTATACATCAAACAAAAAGAATAAATTATCTGCTAACGAAACTAATTAGGAAACAATTCCGTTGTTTAAAAACAGAATGCATTCGGAACCGGCAAATGTTGTGTTCTAAAACCACGCGGCACCCCAGAGATCATGATGCATTCACAAGTGTGATTTCATTCCAACAATCAGGACATGCTCGTTCTAACGCTTCCTTATTGCATGAAGTGTTAGGCAGATACACAAAATATTGTTTGCATACTAGTCTATAGAAATCAAAATGGCAAATAAAATTCTAGAGCTGGCATTCATGTATTTATTTTATTTTATTTTATTTTTTAACAAATATTTATTATTAATATTCATGTGAATATATATTTAATACAACAACAACTACTACTACTACTACTACTACTACTATTATTATTATTATTTCTGACAGTAAAGTAGTCAAGGAAATTTATTTATTTATTTAAACAAATATTTGTCAATATTTATGCTAATACATATTTAATAATAATAATACAAATAATAATACACTTACATTAAAAAATTTAATAAATATTTATTTAAATAAAAATGGTAATAACTATTATTATTATTACTATTCTTCTTCTTATCATTATTATTATTATACTGTAAAGTAGTCAAGGAAATGTATTTATTTAAACAAATATTTGTTGATATTCATGCTAATACATATTTAATAATAATAAATATAAATAAACATTTGTTTAAATAAAAAAATTTGGTAATAACCATTATTATTATTTTTGACTGTAGTCAATGACATTTATTTATTTATTTATACAAATATTTCATAATATTTAGGGATGCACGATATATCGGCCACCATATCGGTATCGGCCCATATCGGCTCATTTTTTCTGTTATCGGTATCGGCCTGATAAGAAAATTTGGCCGATATCTTAAAGCCGATAAATAATGCATTATTTCCTTCAGAGACACTTCAGATGCGCGCTGTTCGTTTGCAGCCTTTTGTGCAATTGTACATTGTAATATTGTGTTTATTTGATGTATATCTGATTTATCTCATATAGAATGCGTTTGGTTAAGTTAAAAGGGTGCTTCAGTTTACCGGTGATCATCTTTAGCTCAGCACACGCAGCTCAAACAGCAGTGCACAACATTAATAACTATGATTGGGAATGTCGTGTATATAACATTCTAATGAGAA